TCGATAATTCTACCGATGCTTAGCTGCCACACAATCATGAATTATTATTACATCATGAATTGTTATGAGTAAAAGTAGCACTTTTGTTGATTGTTGGCATTATTCAGCATGCACTAAGTCAGTGTTTCTCAAACTTTTCATGCTTGTTTTAATTTTTTTTTGAAGTACAAACCTGGGCCTAATTAAAACAAATAAAAAATTCAGTAGCAAAAATTTATATTCTTAACACTTACCTATTAAATGGGAAATATGTAACTGATTTTGTTCTGGCATAACTGAAAACATCTGGTATGATTTTAGTCAGTTTGAAGGGAAGAACACACTGACAAGTCTATGCATGTGAAGGGCGATTCTAGAAGTGAAGACAGCAGTGTGTATATGTACTCGGGAAGCTCAAATTGAGCTTATTACAAATTTTATCATTTTTACATTCATTTTTTTGCATACCACCGACATTAGCTCCACATACCATCAATGGTACGCGTACCACAATTTGTGAATCCCTGCACTAACTGAATGAGATGTGGTCCCATCCACCTACACATTCAACGTGATCAGTACAGCTAAACACGAGGCTATGCTGTGGGTGAAAGAGATTCTTCTAATTCTTCAAAAGAAGCCAAATTTATACAATTGGCAAAGTGCTACTGAACTTAGTATTCTTAGAATGTTATTATTTTTTTAGATTATCTATAACTTTCCTTTTTTTTTTAGGAGTTCAGCGTCGTCAAAGACGGGTGCTCGACACGTCCTCGACATACGTCAGAGGTGAAGAAAATCTACACGGGTGGCGCCCTCGTGGTGATTCTCTCATATTTGATCACCAGTGGGAGTTAGAAAAACTTACTCGACTGGAGGAAGTATGGTTATTGTTAAAGTGATTTTAAAACTGACAATAAAAAGAGTTGTTTCTATTGTACGAGTGCTAATTTAACATTTCTGTATTTTTTAACAGTTCCATATATTCCGTGCATTAAAAATTTAACATATTTTAACTGGAATAGAATTTTGTAACCTAATTACCACAAGTATAATTTTGTTATTAGATTTGAACTGTAAAAATAAGAATGTAGATACAATATGTAAAGTATAATTCTGTTGTTGATGATAAGAAGCAGAGTAAATAAGCCATTGTGGAAAATATCACTACCACCAGGATAACATAACTGTACTTCAAATTTCTTACTTACTGTAGTTGAAAACGCTTTATATGTGAAAGCCAACACTGAATGCTGGTTCCTAATTTTTAATTACATCACGTTTTTTTTTCACTTGAAAGTTTGATAAAATGCCAGACACGTCATTGCATGTGCACAGATATGTATGTAGACTTAATAATAGGTGAACTGTAGTATTTTGATCATTCAACCCTTGGTTTAAGTCTATCAGGTAATAGATTTTTCTTTATAATGATGGACTTAAACTGAGTTTAAGTAAACATAATAGCACAGTTCACCTGGTATTAAAGTAAAAAGTGTTAGCATTTTGTGTTTATGTGTGTAAGTATTCTTTGAGACATGTTTTTTGATCGGCTCTGCTGTAGGTAGAGAAGGTTCGTCATCTCCTGTTACTTCGCGAAAAGCTGGGTATTGACCATGGTCCTAACTATCACCAAGAGATCAGCAAGCTGGAGAAAGAAGCTTGTAACTTGGTAGCCAAGGCGTGTGTGGAAGGAAGTAGACCACCAGTAAACCAACCTCAGACTTTACTGTCTCCCAGTTCTCAGGGTCGAACGATTGACGAGTCAGTATATGAACCGTGGGAGATGAACGAACGGGAAAAGGAGCTCACCACCAAATGTGTTCATCTGATTCAGAGTCACATACCTTCTAAGCCTTCTCCTGCTGTCAGTACCAAAAAGGTGAGTAACTTGTTCTCATTATTTCTGAATTGGTTATTTTTAAACTACTTTCTTTATTACTTTTTAACTGATCACGATCAGGTTTTGTCAATTAATACATAAAATAAAAGGCATTAATTTCTGGAGCAAGTACAGTTGCTTAAAGAAATAATCCTCCATGAAGTAGATCTAGTATTGATTTTATAACAGCATTTGTGTACAAAATAAGATTAATGATTATACATTTTTGTTGAAAATGCATACTGATTGCTATTTAGAAATCTCTGTGACCTGGCTAAAAGTTTGTTTATTCTGAGTAACCATATACTGTTGAAATTTTTCTGGCTATTTGAATAAAATAATGTATTCTAAGGCTTACTTAGATATTTTGTTATTTGTATAGTATAATTATTGTATAACAATCCTTCATATATCTTACTTACCCCCAAGTGGTAGTACCTTATTTAATTTTCTTTTTTTCTTTCTTTCTTTATTTTCTTTTACTTTGGAGACAGTCATCATCCCACAACTGTCTGTAGGCAGTGAAGGGTTGATATAGATGTGGGATGTTGTGGGCAGTGAATGGTGATATAGATGTGGGACGTTGTGGGCAGTGAATGGTGATATAGATGTGGGACGTTGTGGGCAGTGAATGGTGATATAGATGTGGGACATTGCTGACTTGAACACCCACATCTCGCTCTCCTAATTTCTATTTCTTTTGATTATTTTATTTTCATTTTTTGAATTTCTTCACATTAGACTGGTGAACAGAGGTTAAGACTGATAGACGGTGTATCTCCACTGCAATGTTGATCCTACTTCTGTAGTCACCTCCAAAATCTAGGGCACATTTTATATCCCACATTATAGCCTGTACCCTGGAGATCCTCTTGATTTGTGCAGCGTGTTTGATTTGATTTTTGTTTGGGCTTGTTTTTGTTTATTTGGATGTCATTTATCACAGGTTTGGATTTGCTGTTTTTTAATGCAGTCCTTCCTTTTGACTTTGTTTGCTTGCCTGTTTGAGTATTGATTTTCCATATATATTATAAAGCTAATTGTCGGTGGTAAATTTAGTTTTTATTACACATCATTATAGGAGAATGTTACCAGTCCTTCAGAAGAAGTTGATGTTATATCATCTGGATCATCTAGCCTCAACTCTAGTATGACATCATCATCATCTCAAGAGTAAGTGTTTTGAAAGTTGTAAGAAGACTCTTTCTTATTAAACATATGTGATTTTAAAATCGGTTGTACTCATTGTTGATTACATTTTACAACACAGTCTCTGTCGTTGTTGTATCGTAACTGGCTATTGAATAAACCTAACAATACTGATCCCATCCAGCCTGTGACAATAGAGTTATTATTCACAAAGCATGGTAACATTGTTAGGGATTTAAAGACATCAGACTATTGGTGATGGTAACATTATTGAACTAACTGAATTAAAATATTTTGTTATTGTTAAGATACAAGTGCAACTCGAGTTTTCTACTGTCATCCAAAATTAAATAAGGTAATTTATATACATAAATTTTGTAGCATAAGAATCTTAAAAATAAATATGTTGTAACTGTATCAGGTAAGAAAAAAAATATGATGCAAAATATTTGTTATTTTCAGAGCATTAACTCCAGACAAATCACGCCTTTTCCTACCTGAGGCCCAGGACTCCTCTTACATACCAGGACCACCATCTGGCCTGAAGCCAATCTCTGTCAGTTCTGCGATGAACTATCCACCAGGCAAACCTATTTATGTACCTGAAGTCGAAGAAATCCGGGTCAGTCCAGTCGTCTCTCGTAAGGGCTATCTGAACTGTCTGGATGACAAGACCAATGGTTGGGTCAAGTGCTGGGTGGTAGGAACCTGTTTTTTTTTATGTACTTTGGACGTATTTTTCAAAAACTATTTCATACATGTAGTAATTCAGTGCTGGGTGGTAGGAACCTTTTTTTTTTTATGTACTTTGGACGTATTTTTCAAAAACTATTTCATACATGTGGTAATTCAAATATATATTTCACTAACTATATATCAGTAAATTTTTTTTTTTCACCCAAAATAAATGTTATTAGGTTTTGCCTACTTACTGACCTTTTGAACAATTGTAACCAAAAGACAAGTTCTGCACCTCTGTTTGTTTTTCTTGGCTATTACATGAGGATTAATTAAAGGCTTTGTCCTTGTTATGGAGAATGAGGCTAAATCTTGTATATAAGAAACATTTTTGGTAAAAGTAACCATTCACACATTGGTAATTTATCACTTATCAAAGAAAAGTTAAACTACAGTACTTAGGTGAGGATTTAAATTTTCTTCTGGTCAGATTAAATCTTCAACTAGTCATTTATTCTAATAATTCTGGACACAGTTATGGATAAGAATTTTTAGTTCTGGTACTAAGAACATGTAGCTTTGACACTAAGTATGTGTAGCTCTGACATTAATTACATGCAGCTCTAATGCTAACTAAGTATGTGAAGCTCTGTATCAGGTTTTATGTATGGGCTAGCTTCTTTACAGTAGGTGTCTGTGACTCGTTGGCGATAAATTTCAACAATATATAAACAGCACACAGTCCACCTGTTTTAAAATAATATATTAAAACAAGTCAAACGTATATACAAATGTTCATTACACTGTTGGTTGTCACAGTTGTATCCAGAGCTTTAAATAATTGTCTCTTTTTCATCAAAGTCCCCACAGTTTAAAAGTGTTATTTATAATAACTGTCACCAATTACAAATAAATGAAAGTTAAAATGGTGATGATGATACAGCCTTTGATACAGTTTAATAACTCTTATTTTAGTACATAAAATACAACCAGTAAAAGTATTAATTTGTTTATTACATAGTTTGATCAGAGAAACTTTCTGGAAATTATCAGAGGACCACATCGTATTAAGGTTAAGTGTAAATTGAAGCTGATAAAACTCCTACAGGTGTGGCTTAGTGTTACTAACATGTAAAACTTGTGATTTTTTTTAATGAAGTCACTCTTTATGATCCCTTTTTTCACTTTGAATGTTCTTTGTAAGTAAACCGTTTCTGTTGATGTAGGTAGTCCATCGTCCATACGTTTTTATATACAAATCAGAAAAGGATCCTGTTGAAAGGGGCCTCATCAATTTAGCCACAGCACAAGTAGAATATAGTGAAGACCAACAGGCAATGTTGAAGGTGAGTGTAAAAAAAATTAAACTTGTTGCTGTATATTAATTAATAGTGAAATACAAGTCAAAGAACTATAGCAGTGAGATATAACAAAAAAAATTTGGTAAGACTTGCTGAATTGTTTTCAGTCTATAGTTTTGTGATTAATTAATTAACAATTTGGAGAATATTAGTATAATATATTATAGTATTATATAGTAATATTAATAATACTTGAGAATGTTAGCATAAGAAATTATATAAATATTAGAACTTAGAAAAAAAAAGTTTGTAAAATGCTAGAATTTCAGTGCACTGTTGAAATCCAAAGATTGGAATCAATAAGCTAATGCAAAACATAAAGGTATTTGTACAGTATTAATGAAATGTACAAGAAGTCGGTCCATTTGACTAATCCTAGGAGAAGTGATGTTGAAAATAATTCTCAATTTACTGTTTGTATGTCTGTGAAATGTGGCAAGCTTGTAGTAAAATGTATAACACTGTTCTGCACAACACAAAAAAACGTGTTACAAAGGTATTTGTACTCAAGATATGTTTGTGAATTAATGATGTGCAAGGTGGTGTTCACGTCAAGAACGTGGATACTTATGTCCATTGTACTTCTCGAACCTCCACAATGCATATACACACTTTTTTTTTCAGTATCCCCGTACGCTGTATCTGGTAATTGTTCATCTCTACTACGTATTATCATTGAATCGGCAGTGTAGGGGAAAATGATTAGTTAGTAATTCTAACCATCAAATACATAACACTGTGTTGAATGTCTCTCTGTAAAAGGTTGTAGCATGAGCACTTCGACCCCACGACCCACGTACAAAGGGTTAAAAGTATGTCATATATTTTCAAACTGATTCTTAGTGATTTTTGGTTGTTGTGTAAAAATCATTCAAAACAAAATGGTAATTAACAAATGAAAGAGCAACTAAGGACGTTATCACCTTTGCAGGTCCCGAACACATTTTCTGTGGTAAGACTGGTTGTTGTGTAAAAATCATTCAAAACAAAATGGTAATTAACAAATGAAAGAGCAACTAAGGACGTTATCACCTTTGCAGGTCCCGAACACATTTTCTGTGGTAAGACTGGTTGTTGTGTAAAAATCATTCAAAACAAAATGGTAATTAACAAATGAAAGAGCAACTAAGGACGTTATCACCTTTGCAGGTCCCGAACACATTTTCTGTGGTAAGACTGGTTGTTGTGTAAAAATCATTCA